AAGTATGTTTTATACATGTGTTATTTTTATAATAATCATTATTATTATTTTATTATTTTGGTATTATTGTTTTACTATAGAATAATAATAAATAACACAAACCTAAAAAAGAAAAACTTTTTTTTAACTCAGAAGTATGTAATCCTAAAGATTTTTGACATGTTAAAATCAAATCCGTAGGTTAAATTGCTCCATCTTGTCAGATTCTGATATTATAATCTAAAAGTATCAAAAAGGCCTACTTCGGACATTTTTAGATTAAAATATTTCGTAAACCTGATGTGATGGAGCAATTTGAACTATGGATTCGAATTCAGCACGAAAAAATCTGCGAAAATTACTTATGATTATAAATAGTTTAACATGAAAAAAAGTAGATATGTTGCAAATGTGTTCACCGGCCTTAAGGCCTTCAGACGATATGATTAACATATACACCAACTTTGCACACATACACTAAATATTGACTACATTCGATATGGATAATTATGTTGTATACAACATACGAGTATATGTATATGTATGATATTTATTAATACATGTCATATTTACTTGTAATATATTTACTTTTTTCATATTATATAAGGTGTCTCAGATTACCTATACACCCCTTTTATCTCGGAAGCAGAGCATTTTAGAAAAAAACGTTTCAGACAAAAGTTGTAGGGTTCTAAATGATCTATGGAACGGTAAAAAAAATTTTTTTAAATAATTTTTTATAATAAAAGTTATTTTTTATAAAGAAAAAAATTTTTTTATTACAGTTCTAAAGTACTATTGAAGCCATTCTATTTTTATTATGAAAATTGTTTTCTATCTCTTACAATTCCAGCGACATTCACTTCGAAAGAGAAACACCGATTTTTTTTCTAAAGGTATTCTACCCCTTAGAATAACTTTAGAAATAAGCGCCGAATAAGAATAATATCTCGATTGCGAAAATTGGGAAATGATCAAGAACTGTTGGAAAAAAACTCAGTTTAGTTCGTTCTGAAGCGTACACATGTACATACAAAAAAATGTTACGTAAATATTACTTGTTTCAAGTAAATAAGAAGATATATATTATATTTTAAAATTATATTATCAAGAAAATATTCTTTGTAATGATATAATCAAAAGAAGAAGAATAAAAATTGCGTTCTTTTTTAGCACTAGAATAATATTTTTCTGCATTTTTTTACACTACTGCATAGAAGTTCGGACATCCGCATAAATTTCATCGAATGATCGTGTAAAAAATTAAAACATAAAACAGTAATTGTATTATTTCCGAAATATATACTATACGAATAATTTTGAATCGCTTGTATGCAATACTTACTAACAATTGCAAAAGCTTTATAATAAATACAAACATCGTATAATAAAGCAAGCAGAAAGATTTCGCGACGATCAGCATACGCTTTGCGTAATGCTCTAATTAATTACATCGCTTAACATATTTATAATTATGTTAAAACGTATTTAATCGTGCTAAATAACATGATTTATAATGATAAGAAATGTTTAAGGAAATCTGCAGCTAAAATAACATTTTTGGATAATGTAGGCGCGATGCGGCGAGACACATAGAACCGCCATGCCAGACTAACATATGTCAAGCGCTTCTTTCCCCTGCCCGCGCACCGCTGCCGCTGCCGCTCGAGTGTGGGCCGTCCTACGAATTCGCGCGGCACGGCTTACCAATCGTATTATATATTGGCTTAGACGTTTCCTTTTCTAATTCGAAAACTATAACAAGTATCCCAAAATGATATAAGAATTTTTTGTTCACTTTGATTCATTCTCTGCCCCCA